TTGCCCAGAGAGGTAGTGGAGTCTCCTTCCCTGGAGATATTCCAGACCCGTCTGGATGTGATCCTGGGCAAGATGCTCTAGAGGTCCCTGCTTGAGCAGTGCGGTTGGACTAGATGATCTCCAGAGGTCCCTTCCAACCTAAACGATTCTGTGATTCTGTGAACATGGAATTGTGCTGACCCTGTATAGTGTCTAAGAAAGGGCAGAAATAATCAAACGGGTTGTATTCACACCTAGACACTGAAGAAGGAATTAAAATCTATCTAGAAGACAAACTTCTTCTCTACCGTAGAACTTTACACTTTATGATCTCTACTCTCTGTATTTAAAGATTGCCCCCTCTTTTTTTGAACAGCCTTATAGTACAAAACGGAAGAAGGACTGTTGAGATTTCTGTGCTTGCACTGCCAGTATCCCATTATTCTTAAGATAAAGTCATCAATAAGCTTGAGTTGCAAGTTCTGGTTTTACGGGTTCTTCACATAATTAGTGTTAGAGGGGAAAAGAAGAGCACAGCTCTAAATAAAGGGAAGATGAGTACTCAAGAAATGAGGGTCTTACTAGTCATTGTTTTGGACCATATGGAAACTCTTCCTCTACCTTCTTCAAAGAGACTCTTCGGAAGCCAGACCAGGTAGAGTATTGATTTGCAACTGTGCGTCCTCCAATTTTTCCAGCCCTTTCTCCACTGAGGAGGAGTCCAAATTCTACCATCCGTTCCTCAGCAGGCAGTGCTGAACCACCGCAAAGGGAACAGGCTGAAATTGTTCATTGTCAATTAGATGCTTGACTGAGTCCTTTGCCCTTTGAACAGAAAGCCAGACCTTAATGCAATTTTAGTGAGTTGAGAAGAAGGAAAGAATGGAGGTGAAAAATGAGACAGAAGCAGACTATAGAGCCAACAGTTTAAAATATCCATTAAAGCTTGATTGTATATAATAGGAACAGCAAGCTAATGCTGTTACTACATTCAGTGACTGCTTCTTAACTGAATATAAGTGTGTTTATCTAGTAAATATTCAACTCAGGCCAGTAGGTTTGCTAGTATATGAAAAAAATGTTCAGTTTCATGCAACTAGAAGTGCAAAGCACCAGTACTTTCCTCAAAACAAGTGCAGAGTGGGAAGATGTAGGGAA